CCCCAAAACCCCAAAACCCCAAAACCCCAAAACCCCAATATTTTCAAGCAAGATTGAAAACTAATTGCTTTTATCCTTTGGCTGAATCTTAAATGCTTCCTTCTTGTTTCCCTTCAGATCTTCTTTGAGAATGATTATCGATAACAACAGCCAGAAGAGTAATAGAATTCTCATAATGTAGCCATGAAGGAAGGTATTTCCTGTTCCCATTTCTATCGCAATTGCTCCTCATAAAGAAATAGCTAATAGAATCTCTACTATTGTTGAATGTCTAACAAAAGCTCCCAAAATTGGATGATCGCTATTATCTGTAACTATAGGAAGGACTAATTTATGATTGCATCCATAATCCCTATATTTTCACAGATCATCATCGATATTAGCATCAGTATTCTTTGGCACAAGGAGGACATCAGGCTCTATCTGATTATTTGTCAAATCTAGATGGCTTATCTTGATCTTAACAAGTATCACATAGACCAATGAAGAAAATATATACAGGCCATAACAGTCGAACCTCTTTACATCTGGATATATTGAGTACAAAGAAGTAATAATGATTCATAGCATGACCTCCTTCAGCTCATAAAATGCCAAAAATGCTGTTGTAATCACTACAGAAATACTATCTGCGTTCATATCAATAAACACAGCATAAGCTGTAGCAAGATTGAAGATGATCAATAACATCCTAGAGTCAGAACTTTTAGCAAGAATTGACTGTACATTCTGACCAAAACAGTATATAAATAGGAAGAGTCCTACAAACCCTTGCGGAGATTCCCAGAATCTTGGAAAGAAGGAGTTTCTTATAACTTCGAGCATCAGCCCAAGGTCTTCATGAATGATCCATGGGAGCCATATAAACCCACAAGATATGAATAATGAAGTATATGTAGTGAACACCTGGAATGACTTCTCAGTAAGCCGCTGCATTAGAAGAGGGATATCTCTCTGCCAGTCCATTGCGAACATTGGATTGTTCAAAATCTGGTTCTTCATTGTATAGATCATCATTGGAATGACAAATATAAACGCCTTAGGCTCAATATGGATCCCAAGTGTGGCACATAATACACAAAGAGTCGGAATTGAATTAATGCAAAAGTAAAGTGACCATATCATTAGCCCTATCATGATAGAGTTGAACCGGACTGCCAGCACATTAGCTATCAGATATGCTGGACAGAGAAGAATGATCAAGATAATAGAATGCTTTACTCTATCATTCAGCTTCCTGTAGAAAGACTTGACTCACATATAAACTCCTGAGTATAACGTCAAGGCCTCGAATAAAGTCAACATCAATATACAAATGTAGTTGTGAAGCTTAAAATGAACTGACTCTGAAGGTGATATCTCATGAGAAGAGTCTGTTATCTCAGAGTGGTTAGTATCCATGAGATACGATTGAATCAACCCAATTAGGCAGTAAAGATATCCATACAGTGGAGGATAATTCTGGAACTCATGATGACCGTCTTCTGAATACCAGTCTTCTACCGGATGCTTTTGTGTATGAATTATGGTGTTGAAATGAGACAAGAAAGTTCTGTCATAGTACAGCAAGTTACTGATTAATCTAATAAACACTGCAGAGAAAATAATCACAACTTTTGCAAGGATAGAACTTTTAACAGTTGTAAACAATTGATTTATTGGTCAATAATCTGCTTGCTTTGAAAAACGAGTTGATATCATTGGTAAAATAAATCTCTCTGCTCTCTCAGCCACGTCAAGGACTCTTAAAGATGGATGCCAGTTTTCTTGCATTATTTCCTGAAAATTTAGCTTATTGACATCAAAAACAAGATGGTTCAAATCACAAGAGAATTTTATTTGAGGATGATTGAAAGGGAACTGATTAGTCAAGTCAATAAACACCTTAAATTGATATCCATTAGGAAACTCGCTATTCTCAAGATCAGTTCCAAACTTATCGACTATCTTCATATCAAAAGCAAAAGTAAAGAGTCTTCTTTGTTCATCGAAGGTGAATGTATTCCTAAACTTTGATGCATTCAGTATCTTAATCTCGTTAGATATCCTTTTATCTTTGACCTTATTAGCAGAAGCATTTGGATCATCTTGGTCTATTTATGATGAATCTGCCTTACCGTCCCTCTCGTTGGTCGCTCTCCTCTTGGGAATCCCTTCGTTTGTATCCATTTTAATCATATTTATGATTAAACCCTGACAAAAAGGGGTTTTGGGGTTTTGGGGTTTTGGGGTTTTGGGG